CACAGTCCAAAACAGCATAAAGTACTGTAAAACTGGACAAAACTTTAGTGTGCAGGGGTGTGTTTAATTATTGGGACCAAGCGACACTAGGGAGTAGGTGTTAAGAAACACACATACATGTGCAAACCAGAGTCACACTAGCATGTGCACGTTCACACTCACCAAACGTTATAAGTCTCCTTCTGCAGCATTGAAGCCCCCCCATTTACAGCAGAGCTGCCTCATTGTGTGTGGCCAAGGGAGGCGGAGGGGGTCACTTCCCCAGTCAGCCATTTAATTAAACAATCGTTAGCGTACCTTCACAGGATACTGATTGGAGACGTTCAGAGTGACATTCCATTTCACTATCACTGTAATTAATCTTGTTGTTTGGCCACGGAAAACAGAAGACTGAAAAATATGCAGAAATGAAATTGAATTAAAACACCCAACAGGGGAATGGAGTGAGGAAAAAACAAATAACACACATTAGCACCTGTGCACCAATAAAAGGTGAGTTTATACACTTTGCATTATTAGTCACATTTTATGAGATGAGGGAATCGAGACCCTAAAGGAAGATAACAACAGACCCCCTCCCCCCAGACTTTACTGCTGAATTAAACTTTAAATGGTTTCATGGCTACTCAGCAGATGTAGCAACTGTATTAACGGCCGCGATGTGTAGTGGGAGGTGCGGGACCAATCGGAGAGCTGGGAAACAGCCAGAGTCGAGCTTTCCATAATGCGGAGGCTTCTGTCTAACGCCTGTTTCCATACAATGGCTGTTCGAAGTGCCATTCTACAGTCAGAGGTCCACAGCGGACAGAGTGTGCTGTGATAGCAAGTTCATAGGCATGCATTGTGTCTGTGTGTGTGTGGGGGGGAGGGGAGTGCATGCATACACTGCTCCTCATTTATGTGAGGATAGCCAATCCTGGGTAAGTGCCCAGAAAATGGGACAATTCCGAATCCTGCAATCCCCTCGACTTCCTTTAGAGGGCCCCCCTCAATGTGTATTCACAGACAAGTGTGAAAAACAAACCAGTCACCATAGGCGGAACGCGTGCAGCGTTTTTTCCGCGGCTTCACATGATCCTGCAGTAAGCATGCAGGCGGGAATAATGTTACTGGGGGAGGGGCTGGCGAATGAGGTGGCCAGGAATGAGTGGAAGCAGAAGCACTGGCGGTATTGGAGAGGAGGTGGGGTCTTATCAGCTGTTCAACGACAGCTCTGTGCTTTTACCCTATCCCAGATATGGTTGAATGACCATTCAGAAAATCGTGGATTTCAGAGCAGGGTGTTGCAGGAATATGCGGGATACACTGTAGTTCACATTCTCACCCGCTGAGATCCTCCTGAGCCATTATATTGGGTCTGCAGGGCAGTTTGTCTGACCGGGTCAGAACTTTGTGTACTGAAGGATTATCAAACTCAGCCCAGACCTATTCGTTAAACATATCAGCTCCATCGCACCACCAAGCCGTCTGGTCAAAACGACCCGCTGCTGTACAGGCAGAATCAGGCCGGATGCAGGCGAGATATGACAGATGAATGTGACGGCTGCAGGATTTTCGGGAGAGAGACTCAGGAACCTCATGCGTGAGCTGAGAGGATTGTGTAAAAAAAAACTGAGATTTTCCCAACCCATCGATCCTTCCTTAGTGCCGTCTGTCTCATCGAGCAATAGCTCAGTTTACAGCTGTGTTCAGTGGCCTTCAACTCCTCCAAAGCTGAATGAACAGGCATCTCATTAGTGCCTGGGATGGAGTCGTGCAAGTGGAAACTCAACAGCAGGCGGAAGTACGGAAGGAAAGTTCTCTGTCCTAAACTATTCTTTTTAAATCTGTCTGAACATCGCTTTAGTGTCTAAGGCAGTTCTCTTCGTTAAAGTTTTTGCTGACACCAGGGTAATGTATTCACCTCACTTTTCAGTCCCGGAGCATAACAATGTCTTGTACTTTTTAATGTCCTCCTGTTGTTCACCGGCGCCCCCTGTGGGCCGATCCATTATAGCATTAAACTTTATTTTGCATCGCTGGAGCGGCACTAAGGGGTGCCACCATGTGTGAAAACGCTGCCGAAAACTGGCTTTAAAACCCTGCTACTATTCGCTCACATTAACATTAATGAGAAAAGGCTGATCAGTAGGGATCTCCATGTCGTCACTACGAATAAAGATACTTAGCACATGGTTATAAGTTAATGTTTTATCTCCACGATGCCATTGATGACCTCTCTCCAGCCCCCTCAAAGTCATTCTTTAAAAGTATTTGGTGTAAATTGGTTAGAGAAATAACTGGGTTCTCAGATGAGGTGGGGGCAGGCTCAACCTTCAGTATTCTCCTAAGGACAACTGGCTTTCATTCAGAGCACTTGCTGCCCTGTTCATATTCTGGTTTAGAGGGTCTTTACGTTGTTTCTATTGGGCCAGCCCATGCAGGAACCCCGCCCACATCATTCACACATATGTTTGCCCCACCCATATTATGGGCATGTGTGGAACCCTGCCCACATCATTAGCATGTGCATGCTAGCATATGCAAACATGCATGTCACCTCCATAAGTGGAACGTAACAGTTTACAGTGGGGGTGGGGGTGGGGGTGGGGGGCAGCGTTCACTTGCCAGCCGCAGAGTCCGCAGCCCAGCTGTCAGGACATGCGGTCGCGCACTTCGCTGGCTCAGCATGCGGATCCCCGTTGCCTAGGAAACCCTCGCTGACGGACGGGAAACGCGGATACCTATTTTGTTGTTAATTGTTCCTTTTGAAGGTGGTGCGGAGGGGGGGGGGTGGTTCTGCTTTCCATGTCATGCTCGCCAGCGCTGCCCCCAGACTGGGAGCGAGCCGTTCGACATGCGAGGCGCTCACTCATGTCCATGCCATCCGTCAGAGCCGAGCGGGACCATTTTCATGGTCAGTGCTATAATTAACCCCTATGGGGACTCGGTGGCGCCTCCCAAGGCGGTGGTCATGCATAAGATGCATTCTCAGGGTGTCCATATTCACCTCTGTAGTGAAGACAGATCCCCCACCCAATAATATTTGCACAGCCCCTGCTCCCCAGGACCTTGCTGGATTATTGTGGCTGTGGGTGACTTTTCATTGGCATGAGAGTCAGAGTCGCTCACAGTTTTATTAGCATTAGCCTGCTACACTGACAAGACATTGTTTCATTGAAATTAAAAGGGCTTTGCAATAAAAGGCAGAGTTACTGCATGGAGCGATGCCTTCTGCGGCACTGGGAGGGCGTGTGTGTTTAAAAGAAGAGAAACAACATCATTTTCTGACACTCAAAGCAATCTGACTTTCGCTGTCCCAAATGCTCCCTCCCTTTGCAGGTAAATGGTCAGCCAGCAGATTGTTCCTGCCCCCGCCCCCCCCCCCCCCACCTTGCCTCAACCCTCTCCCACCACCTTTGAGTCATACCCGCGACACTGTGGCTGCAGCTGGGGAGACAAGCCACCAGGATGGACCGATCGACTCTCCTGAAAGGAATCAAAATCTCGTTTCCTGGGCACTGTAGGGCAGTACAGAGTCCTGTCACTGTCAAAGGCTCTTTCTTTGCCCATAGGACAGCAGCAGCTGCTGAGCAAAGCATCAATGGCAAGTCCAGTATCCCAAGAAATGATGCTCTTAATTGTATAATTACTCCTAATTAAGGTAGTGTGTCACTTTAGTACCAGGTACAAATTATTTAATAATTGTACGAAAATAATACATTCTGCAACACTGTGGCGTTTGAGATAAAATATTATACAGTCCAAAACAACACATTTTATGTTTTATTTCACGTGTTTTGAGCTAAACAATTGATGATTTTTAACTGGAAAAAACGAATAGCTTATTTTGAATAAAGCGCTGGCAGGTAAGGCGGTAGAATTCGGCTCTGACGCTGACAGCTAGATGTAGAAGCGGCTGGCGAGCCAGTAGGGGGCAGTAAAAGCTCGCGCTGCATTCGGAGGAGCGGCCCTGTCACTCGGAGGGTCAGTCCACCACAAACACATACGGATATCCCTGAGTCCGCCGCAATTTTCGCGGCATTAATATTAGTCCAGTCGTATGGTGATGTGCACCAGTATTAGTGCTACGCGGAATACTTCTATTCATATGCTAATCGTGACCAGGGGAACTGCGGCGATTCCCAGCTTGACATGTTTGTGCTGCTTTGCACCATGAAAGGTGGTGATTTGTTTCCCCCAGTCAGCTTATTTCCCTTTCTCCGCGTGCTGGTTAATTGACCAGACACTGACCCACAGATTACCTTGTTGAAATTCTTGCGGTTCGCCCGTTGTCGTTAGTGTCTTCCTGCAATTGCTGAAAGTGTTGCGAGTGACAGCAAACACATGATTAATAGCGCAATCTTTCCACGCCCACCCCCTCCATCGCTCTGAGCGCCTTCGGAAAAGAGCCGTCAAATATTAATGAGAGGAAATTATTAAATCCTTATCTGTGGACTGATACCAAGGCCTAGATGGGCGGGGGCCGATAGTTTATATCAGCCGCGTTTCCATTCCACGAACCATGGGCTGCGGGCTTTTGAACCGGGAGGTGCTGCGGTGTCATAAACTAGTAGGCTATAATGTAGTTTTTCCACGTGCATTTTCAGGTATCCGCCCCCACATCTGTGTATGACACCGTACTGCTTACATTTCAAAACTACAGATCGCAAACCCACCCGCTTGCCCACATGCGAAAAGACGAGGATTTAAAAAAAAAAAAAAACAAACTTCGTTGGTTTATCCGCTTCAGCAACATTTTTAAAAAAGCTGACACGGCAAACGGGGAATTCTCTCCGGAACCCGCGGTTTGAAAAAGCAATGCCGCTTTACTAGGGGAGAGGAGGCATGTGAGAGCAGCGTTTAAATGCGGCGCGTCTTTACGGTTTGTGGGGCATTACTCTCCATTCAGGAGCACAGCGGGGGTGATAACTGAGCATCCCCGGCTCACTCCTGAAGCCCTCCACTCCCGTCCTCTCCTCCCACCCCCTCCGGCTCTCCTCCCTTCGCAGTACGTGTGTTTGTCAGTCAAGGCTGAAACGCAGTCCTGTACGGATCGACATAGTGCATGAGGCGCAGTTTACAGAGGGACAGAGGAAGACGCCTAACAGATGTCGGCGTCCACTTTTCAGTGACTTTCCCATCAGGGCACTTTGAATCGCACGATGACATGCAGTCTTTAAATCCGCGCTTTGGGCGTGAAGGACAGCTATGATGCTCCGAAGAGGATGTAGTACTGAGCGCATTTACTGACCATGCGTTCAGACTGGATACAGGAAGAAACAGGGTGTTTCGGCTTTTACAATTAAGCTTGAAACAAACACGTTCACACCCTTTCCCCCGCATAAGTACAGGGTGAAATGTTTCCTAAACTGTGCTTTTAAGGAAAACATTTTCCCAATTTTCTTTTCTTCCACCCTGAAAACGGGATGCGAGGGAACTTCTGAGGCACGTAGCCGGTAGGATCGTGTCGACACCTGCCTAGATGATCGCACCTTGTACCGGGACTCTGGAAGGGCTCCTGTCCCGCTAGGACTTACGACTCAGCCACTTTATCAAGAAAAAAAAAGACAATTTCTTTAACAATATCGGGTTTTTGGTGTAGGAACCTGTACGGATACTATGTCACAATGCTTCCACTACGATTCATTTTTCTCTTTGGATTATTGCACATCGGAGCCAATGGTAAGTTTCATACGGATTTGGGGCGCCTGAACATTGCAACTCTAGCTCCGTCAAGTTTTTTTTCCTTGAAAGATGCTGCTGGCTCTTGGTGCCTCGTCAGTCTTTGCGAGCGCAAAGCCGAGATGATCCAGCCGTGCCCTCCGGCGCGCATTGCGCGCTCCGCAGGAGTCGCTTTGGCTAAAGAGACTAGCCGCTTGAAACGTGTTTTCACCCGGACTGGGAAGCTGGGAGTCGGCCGGTCATGCCCGATCACTTTCTGCAGAATTAGTCGCTCTTTGAAGTCCCTTCCTTTACATACAGAGTCATGCTCTTTCAAGCTCAAATATACCCGCGCGCACGGTCATATTTTAATTAAAAACAGTAAAGCCAATCAAAACGTGGGTTAGCTACTGGAAAACGTTTAAAAATCGTTCCACATGCTTAATTAATGCATTGTTTAATGGCGTAATTAGTTAATTCGTACATGTACTGAAGCAGGACTACTGTATTGATTAATGCAGGGTACGTCTTTGTTCGCTCTTAATTCAGTGCAGTGCTTTTTCTTGTTAAAAGCCAATTGCTGTTGAGTATACCCTATCCATTTTTTTACAAGGAGAATAATAATTTACGATAAAGGAATTTTACACGCATACATTATATACAGCAGTTCAGTTGCGTACATAATCTCAAGAAAGGCATGTTTATGCTTTAGCACATGACATTTTTTTTCTGTTTGGCAAAGAAAATTACAGTTGTTGCCAAATTAAATTCTTTGCACAATAGGATTTTAGTCTTTAAGAGAAGCAGTGATTGAATTGTTTGTGTTTTGGCATACATAAATGTAGTGTGGGTTTTGGTTCATATGAAAACGTTTTTTTCCATACGAAATGTAACAATTGTTGGTTATTCAAATACTTTATTCCTGTTATCACCTACTGTATTCTGCAAAAAATGTTTGATGAAACCATGGTTCTTGGATAATGTCAAGACTTTTAGAATATTGCTAGGGTTCTAGTAGAGTTCCCGAGATCCTTAAATAGATTCCTCTTCAGCAATACGAAAAAAAACTTGAAAGGGTTTTATTCCCTACCGTGATCTTTAGTATTCCGTCATTGCTTGCCAAGGAAACGCACGGTCTCTCTGGAATTGTGCTTTGCATTATTTATTTGCTTGGCAGATGACTTTATCCAGAGAGATGTGCCTGAGGGTACAACAGGAATGCCCTTCTGGGGAACCTGAACTTGCAGAGTACTGTTGACTGTACCTTAACGGCTGCATCGCGCGTTATCATGGTCACGTGAGCGTTCTCCCCTGCCATTTTCGGGGAGCAATCGCATCTCCTGGAAACAGCAGCGAAACGCATGTTTAGCACGCTCCCAGTTCATTACCCCAAAGTTTTGTTTATTGCGTTTTAATGAGGTCGTTGTTAATTGCGCCAACGGCTTCATTAAAATCATTTTACTTTATTGTGCGTGAAGTTTTAGCGATTGTCTCGAGCTGCTTTCATTTGATTAATGGATCATTCTGTACTGCTGTTTTGTGGCGCTTGCAGAACTGACCAGAGGTGCGTTTCCCAAAAGCATAGTTGCTAAATATGTTAGCAACTTACAGAGTTTGAACCATGGGTCTAACTATGTAAGTTGCTATAGGGAGCTTTTGGGAAAGGCAGCCTAGAGCCGGACCCTAGCTTTGTGGCAGTTTTCCCTTAATGCTGTATCAATGTTCCAAGCGGCACAGTTGCTGTGCACTACACACACAAGGCTCTAGTTGTCATGAAATGCGTGTGAATGTCGTCCCCTCTGTGGGGAAAAATCACAAAAGCCACCCCCTTTGAAAATACAAGATCCTTCCATCACCATACCCCATATTGTTCTGTGTAATTGTCAGTCATGTTAAGGTTAATTTACCAGCTATGTCAGGGGTACCAAAGACCCGGACCGAAACACAAATTAAGCCAGAGTGTTTCACCCCCCCCCCCCCCCCCCACAGACACACACACACACACACACACACACACACACACACACCCCCCCCCACCTCTCTGCCCTTTAAAAAAATGATCACCCCCACCATCCCTCTTCGGATTTTTTTTTACATGCGGCCGGACCACTGGGTACATGGCTTGCCTGCTGCAGAAGCTGACGGTTGCAGTGTTGGGGTGTTAGTGTCACCGCTGTAGCTATGGGGATGGGGAAGGGGGGGGGGACACTGCACTTGACCTGTTGCCAGGTCAACGGGCGAACGCCCCCAACAAGCTTCCTAACAGCACCGCAGACGGTCACAGTTGGATCTTGGACTAGGACCAGGTTCATGGTGAGCAGCACGGCCCAGGGGTGGGATGGGGTGGGGGTGGGGGGCAAGTTAGTGTCAGAGGGAGGGAGAGAGACACCGAGGAATGGGTGACCATGCTGGTTCCTTAGAGCCTGTGGGTTTTTAGGGGATGCGTTTTAATTAGCACCCGATTGATGCCTGAAACACCAGGCGAGGTGGCTTTCCATCCAAGTAATTAGCTCAATAAAGCAATTAAGAGCTGAGGGAAAGTGGAAACCACTACACCCAGCCTGCACGGTCCTCCAGGGCCAGGGTTGGCTGACCCCACAGTTAGATATGGATGTGTGACACAGTGCGAGTAGATCATACCATTATGGTCACAGTGTGGGGGGTGTACATAGGTACATAGGACATTCTGCTACAGCTTTATGTCTGCATAGGGAGGGGGATCATAGGAATATGAGTGCTTAAGGGTTGGGATGGCAGTTTTGCTTAATGTTGACTCTGGAAATTGAATTTCATTGGCATTAGGTTATAGGCCCCTAGTGGAGATTGTGTGGAATTATTTTCCATTGGGGTTAGTGGGGATTCTGGGCTGAAGATGGAGTCCCATTCAGAGAAGAGGCAAATGGCCAGTTTACATCGCACTGAGGGTTACTGGTGGTGCTGGGAGCTTGTGGGACTGCTGGCATGGCATGGCTAGGCTGGCATGCCATGTGCCAGTCTCTGTCCCTTAGTGAGAAGTGGCACCCAGCCAGAGGAACTGGGCAAAGGAAACCCTTTCCATCAATGGAAATACCACGAATAAAAGCCTTACATGCTGGCAAATGGAAAACCTGAATATTAGAAACAAAAGGGAATAGGTAGAGCCAAGAAACAGAGGGAGGGACCAAGGCAGTGGTAGGCAGGGTTGGGATTGATGGAGGAGCCAAGGTAGAGCTAGGCAGGGTCTGGATAGAGGAAGAGGCCAAGACAGCGGTAGGTGGGGTTAGGATAGAGGTAGAGGCCAGGAAGTCGTTGGCGGGGTTGGGATAGAGGGAGAGGCCAGGCAGTCGAGGTAGGTGGGGTCCGGATAGAGGGAGAAGGCAAGATAGAGGTAGAGGCCAAGACAGCGGTAGGCGGGGTTAGGATAGAGGAAGAGGCCAGGCAGTCGAGGTAGGTGGGGTCCGGATAGAGGTAGAGGACAGGCAGTGGTAGGTGGGGTCCGGATAGAGGTAGAGGACAGGCAGTGGTAGGTGGGGTCCGGATAGAGGGAGAAGGCAAGATAGAGGTAGGCAGGGTAGAGGGTGGGGCCAAGGCAGTGGTAGGCGGGGTTGGGATAGAGGTAGAGGCCAGGCAGTCGAGGTAGGTGGGGTTGGGATAGAGGAAGAAGGCAAGATAGAGCAAGGCAGGGTAGAGGGTGGGGCCAAGGCAGCGGTAGGTGAGTTTGAGGTAGAGGAAGGGGGCAGGGTAGAGGTATGGGGGGCCTTATTAGAAAGGGTGGGGCTCATAAGGAGAGACAATGCTGGATAATTTTTGAGATAAAATTTTACAGACACAAAGAGGAACAAAAATTGTACTAGATGGGGTTTCCTCTGTGACTGTGGCCCAAAGTATCCAGTCCCTCACTTTTGCCAGTCATTCCAGATAACAGTGCACTTCCTATTCTAGACAGAAATTAGAGGAACTGTGAGCAGGAGAAAGAATTTGTGATTTTTAGCCACTCTCTCTTTTCTTGGTTCCTCACTTGCAGAATTTGTGATTTGACAATGCAGGATAAAACATTGCAAGTTTGAATCCTGTGACAAGATATTCAATCTGAATGGATTGAGGAAAACCTCAGCGGCGTAGAAATGGTTAATTGTAAAGTAGTTCTATTTTTTTTTTGCTTTTGAAGTATATAGTTAAAAATAAATGCCGCTCTTTTGCACCCATCATTCTCTCTGTCTCTTCATGTTCTGAGACATTGTTTTGGTGACACATAAATGGTTTAGCAGAAGCTGTCAGAAAAGGTTATTCTTAATGCAGCCCCCCTTCTTCCCCCCCCCCGGCAGGGTCCCGCCTGCGCCAGGAGGACTCCCCTCCCCGCATCGTGGAGCACCCCTCCGACCTGATCGTGTCCAAGGGTGAGCCGGCCACCCTCAACTGCAAGGCGGAGGGCCGGCCAGCGCCCACGGTGGAGTGGTACAAGGACGGCGAGCGTGTGGAGACGGACCGGGAGAACCCGCGCTCGCACCGCATGCTGCTGCCCAGCGGCTCGCTCTTCTTCCTGCGCATCGTGCACGGCCGCCGCAGCAAGCCCGACGATGGCAGCTATGTCTGCGTGGCCCGCAACTACCTGGGCGAGGCGGCCAGCCGCAACGCCTCGCTGGAGGTGGCCAGTAAGTCGCCGGTTCCTTCCTTCTCTCTCCAGTGTATTTATTTGGTATTGACTGGGTTCATGGTGGGTTTGGTGATGTTCTTCAATGATTGGTCGAACTGCTTTGATGGACAGCTGCAGTTGAACTATTGGCTGTGATTCTTTTTTTTTTGTTTTGCTGGCCCTGATAGTCCTAATAACATCCTTTGCATAAACGGTGTAGCGATGAACATTGGTCTTCCTGTTGGTGGCAGTAAGTGGGTGTTACTCCAGAGGACAGAGGACTTTTATCACAGGAAGAGACGTGATCCCATGTTTTGGCCAGCTGCCTCCAACCCCCCCACCCAGTGCATCCCCCATCGTGGATGCCAGCTGTATGACAACAGCTTGATCTATCGACTGCAGAGAGAGAGCG